AGAAGTTCGAGATCGATTCAAATGCCATACCCCATGCATATATATAGTGGGACAGGCCGCCAGCAGTTCCCATGGCAGCTGAACCTAAGAATCTATATAATCAACGTATGACGGAATGTATATTTCCTTCGTTCTTCTCCAGAACGCTAGTTAGCTATTATCTATCCGATCCCAAGCAAACTGCTCCGCAAATGGTTACATCCATGCAACTGATCCACAGAGACAAAGCATATCAGAGAACAGATCTGCACCGGGTGCAGAAACATTGCGTCACTAAATAGGGCTCCGAACGTCCATTTGTCACTTTTGAACGGAGTAGACCGTTTGTATCTCATGGGAGGACCATGTAGACGTGCTGAGCTAAACCGAGACGCGGCCGGGCAACCCCTTGCAATAGGGTGAATCCGAACTTTGATACAGTGAACTTTCCCCTTAGTTAATAATGAGCTGCATCATTTAGTTGCTTGTCTACGGATCTTGCTTCCAAAAGAGACCAAACGTCATTTGGCAGATGCTCGATGTTGGCTGTACCTTCGTCCCCACGGTACCCGCATCTTAACACCAGCTACAAACCATCCATTCTAGGAGAAAGGTACATGAAGAAAAAAGAAAAGAAAAGAAAAAGTAGGCGAGGATGAATATATAAATCTCGCAAGGTCCATGCATAGGTAGAAGCCATCGGGTATTGAGATCAAAATAACGCTTAACCAGGCCGATTTAGCTCTAATACAACATCGCGTGTCGCCTGTAGTCGTATCTCCAGAGAGCTATGATCCGTGACACCTGAGGGAGCAGGGCATAAGGTTGTAGACAGACTAGGAATGGGGCCGATCGGGAAACGAAGGACCCGCGTGTGTTTCGAGAAACAGGCTGCATGAAGTGCATAGAAGCGGATCAAGGTAGTCATAAATGGATCTTCGGCTCAGGAAAACAAACACCTTGCACTTACTATGTGTAAGTATAGCTCCACGCTTCCCCTCAAGTCAAAATACATGTCGGGTTAGCCCTTGCCCAAGCTCCCGTGAACGGGTTACAACTTGATGCTCCTTATGACTTTTGTGACTACTGCAGCTTTTTCCGTTCATATAAAGATCTTTGGACGCTATATTGGGGTTGATATTGGATTTGTGCATAATGAGTTTCCTGATATAGGTCCCGATGGTACGGAGTATGTTTTTTTTGTTGTGTCAGGTTATTGCTGCTGTCTTGGTTCAAACAATATGCACGCGTAAGCCGGCGCATAATAAGCCTTCCAATCACTATCACATGGAGCCGTCTTCCAGCTAGACGTTTTCGAGCACCAAATGCCGTCGCTGTAAGTAACAAAGTTAGGTCGGTGACTATCCCCACATAGACCTAGAACAGTCAAGGTATCCTGGAATCTAGGAACTACGAGAGCTGAAGAGCTGAGGTGATTTTCTGTCTTTTTGCCCCTTGTTTTCAAACGGCAAGAGAATGCCACGTTCGATTGTAGAACCCTTTAGACCAGGATATCTTTCTTGATAACGTCACAAGTGGTTCAGCTTCAGTTTGACTGGTTTTAAGGTTGAAGAATCAGCCTTGTACAGGGGTTGCCAGTTAATTAAATAACACCAATTGGTCTGTTGATACCAAAGGGTGTGTAGTACGGTGTAAACAAATGGTTCGTGCCAAACACAGCGCAACCAGAGCCCCTCATGAACCGACAATACAAATACCGCACGCCAGTGGAATAGCCTTCTCGCAAGAGGAACTAATAATTAGCCTCGGCGTTCAAGACACTTAGGGCTTCAGTTTCTGGGTCTCTCGTCGAGCTACATGGCCTGCTCCCTTGCCGGTCCCAGCCCGAATGTGGGCATATCGGAGCTCCAGTCCGCAACTCTGCTAGACGTGAAATTGGGACAGGGATCCTCGGCCACACTCTCTGGCTTCTGACTGGGTGAGGGGTTTGAGAACTGAACCAGAACCTTGGCTGGAGGCTGTCAGCAAGAAAACCCACAGTGGAGGGCCAGTGATGGCTGGGGCCACTGGGGCCAGGGGTAATCAGTAGTACAGTATTTCGAGTTGGATATCGTAGGGGTGCAGTTATGGATCAGGGCTGGTGAAATAGCAACCGCTCCTGGATTCCATCATGGTCTTGACACTGGAACAGCACAGAAGGGGCTTAAAAGGCCGATGATCTCGAAGAGGGTACCGTAAAGTAGAGTACGTGGGATAAAGCAGGAAATGTCCGCCATTGAGCATGCATCATGACGTTCCATATCACTCAAGCCGGTGTTTGAAGTCAAGAAAAAAACCAACCTTGTCCAAGGCCGCCTCGGCTTGGCGGGGTTCCCATTACTAATAGCGTTCGTTCTTAGTAATGAAACAGGGGATTATGTAACAAAACGAGAACCACTCTCGGCTTTTCTCCACAAGCGCGCGCTAGGCTATTTTTGGCGTCAAAACTTGGCTCCCGGCTTGGCATCCGCCCTTCCTGCCCAAAGCTCCCGACGCGCCCCCCCGCATCCCACGTGTCGATGGCCAGTGCCTTCAAGATTCGCACAGCTCCTGACTCTCCCGAATCATCCTGGCAGCAAGACAATGAGCAGATATCAGTGGCAAACACTGCTTTCCCGAAATCTAGCATATGGAGCCTCAGAAATCTGCGTCTTCTTCTATGTTGTTTTTTATTAGTGGAGTTATTCATTCTAGACCTCTCCTAGGATGGCGCAGTTTGCGTGGAACAGGGCTACCCAAGAAGTATGACTTCATATGCGAATATTATTAAAGAGAGGGGGGGAGTCGATTACTACCGATTTGGAATCCTCTATATGAGGAAGTAAACATCCCCATAATTATTACGTATGTATGACTTCATAGTGCTCTAGTATTCCTTTGTACCTTTACCCGTTTTCGTGAGCAAGTGTCCGCGCTTGTCAGGCCACTTTTACCTTCGAAACTCATAGGAGATCAAAGGTGAACTCCTCTGGTAACAGTTATTGCCTCAATTTTGGATATAAAGAAGCCATGGAGAAAGCCAGTAATGATTGTTTTTAGACGCGGATAATGTAAACAACAATTCGCTGAGAACCAACATATTGTGAAACAATAACCCTCAGCAGCCCACAACAGCCCCACGCTACGCCTCACAATGCCTCAATACAGACAGGGACAGAATGTTCTATATAAGCCTGTGGGAGGTTCGTATCACGAGCCCAATTGTTCCTTAAATCTTGTAATGCTTCTAATGTAATGCTGTAGGCCCCGAGTCTCATACCTCGGAGAGTGTTGGTTGCATCATGTCTGTCCTGACGCAACCTGGGACTCAAGCGGGGCGTAACGTCGATGCGAGCCGGTCTCATCCCCGTTATGAGGTAGGATACTACCCTACAAAAGCAGAGGTTGTGAGCTAACAGTAAACTGCAGATTGAAAACCAAAACACTGGAAAGTCGACCTCGGTTTATGAGGAAAATATTTTGGGCACTGTTTGAGGCAGTGATAGCTACAAAAAGACGCAAAGCTTTGATACCAGGGCTATCACACTTAACCTCTCATTATAGTTGTTAGCTATATAACTCCTACACTCGTTAACATTATAAAAAGTATAGTTGGTTCATAGAACCCCCAACAAATACTATCCTTGGTTCTTGGTTTTGCTCATATGAATTTCCTATGTTTTTGGTTACAATTACACCGTAGACATGATATATGTATGACCGACTAGAAGTTGCTACCGTATCAATTGATCCCGCTAGAAAGGCAAATATTGATTATTAACAAAAGTCAATGGGCTATTTGTAGGTAATTTCACTTGAACTATATTTCAAGAGCCTCGAGAATGCGGCATACCGGTTTACTCTGCAGCTCCAGATTCTATCAAAGTCAAAAGGCCGACATCAGCCTTGTGTAACCGAAAATCATACTCAAAAACGCTACTTAAGCCCAAAGACTAAAAAATATTCCAACTTTTTTACATTTTAAAGAAATAATGAAGATAAAAATGTGTAACTATTGCTTGACGATCACTGTGCTGAGGAATTTTGGAGCTATCAATTATCTGTCTACCATGAGGGCATTGCAATATTAATCATAACCATAGAGGTTAGAGGATATCGGAAATATTAACGATTAGGCTGGTTGAAGTTGCTGCTGTTTGCGGTTCCGCTTATGAATATAGAAACATGGTGTTTGCTCCCGCAAGCAGTGAGCGCATTGAGGATAACTCCGATCGCACACTATATTAACACGCGTACATGTAGTGCAGGGAAATTTGGACCGTTGGATAACGATATCTGGAGCAAAAGATGCAGATTCTGCAGCGGTATTAGAAACAATAATGTTCCTTAATTAGGTAGGACGCACCGCGCATACCAGGTGCCTGTGCAACATCACACGTTTGGTTTGGACTTATGTCCCTCACTCGAAACAAGTACTGGAAGAGCTTAAACATCACTCTTTCAAATCACATCGAGACGTTCTTTTCTGATGGGATAGAATTTCTAGATAGAACTTCACAAGGCTAAGATTGAGTGCTTGTGTATATGGTATTTCACTTAGTTTAGTCATTTATTGGCAAGGAATGAGGGAGCACCTTCGGGTGAGTGTCTCTCCATTCTCTCTATTTATCATGGAGCAGCTGATTTTTGCCAAGTATGTGCAGCCATGTGTAACTAGTTAATTATGACGTGCGGCTCGACTACTAGGCTGGGGATCGGCAACCTTAGTTATCCAGTGTCAATCAATCCCAACAATTTAATTTAGCTTTGACATTTATGTGATCCCAAGGATGCAGATAATTACATCATCAGACACACCTCAACCAAGGTCTCCTACCAAGTATGATACCCGGTAACGGGGACATTTCGAGATTGGTAGCCCCTATGATTTCATAGAAAAATTGATTCGCATAGATATATATAGCTCCCTTATTGAAATGTATGTGTGAACAATTAGAATTGAATTTAACAGTAGATCCTGTTCTCTACAATCTTTAAAAAAAAAAAAAAAAAAAAAACTAGACGAGAGGGTTTGATGTACCATGACATCTACGCAGGATCTCACTCAAAACCGACTCTTCGATGTCAAGGGATTCATTGCGGTGGTGACAGGTGGTGGATCCGGCATTGGTTTGATGGCAACCCAAGGGCTTGTAGCTGGCGGTGCACGCGTCTATATCGTTAGTCGCCGCAAAGAAGTCTTGGATGATGTGGCAAAGAAGTACTCGCAAAAAGGGCCAGGGGAGGTTTTTGGGTATATTATCACCATATAAAGAAACCTGATAATGATGGAAACTAATGTTTGATTAGCATCAAGGCGGACATTAATGATCCCAACGATATTGAAAACCTCGCAAAGGAATTAGAGGCCAGAGAACCGAAGGGAATCAATATTCTTATTAACAATGCAGGAGTAACCCAAGAGGCAGAGAAAAAGGGTCATGCATCATCGGTTGACTACCATTCCGCGGACTCGGTGCGCTCCTGGCTTGAAGGCAATGGAAGAGATGTTTGGCAGCAAACGTTAGCTTCAAACTTGATATCACATCATTTTGTCACTGCAAGGCTTATTCCGGCTCTAGATAAGGGAAGTAGTATCGTCCCAGGGCATTCTTCTTCTATTATAAATATCTCCAGTATCTCGGGGACGGTTAAATCGACATCAGCAGGCCAGTATGCCTACGCCGCAAGCAAAGCAGCATTCACGCATCTGAGTCGCCAGCTGGCACACACACTATATCCACTCCGTATTCGGGTCAATTGCATTGAGCCGGGTTTATTCCCTAGCGAAATGACTACCGGGGGCTCTGACGAGAATCAAAAATCAAAGATAGAAGGCGCGGGCAGCAAATTCCCAGCAGGTATATTCTCTTTTCTGCTTTCCGTGGATTGAATGGAGACTTAGAAGAATAAATAGGTCGAACTGGCCAGGAAGCTGATATCGCAAGCGCTGTGTTATACCTTGGCAGCCGTGCTGGCACATTTGTTAATGGAGAAACAATTCACGTAGACGGAGGTATGTAAAACGGCTAGTTAACTAAAATAATCGTGACGTTATCGCTGGCTAACAAGGTATAGGAGCCTTACTCCAGTCACCCTCCACTGCATGAAGAAGAGTGATTGATTGAATGGGCTTCCCAAAAAGTTAAGGATATGAATGATTAGTTGGTAGTTATATATAAAATTGGAATTCCTCACCAGCGACTTTCCCATCGACTCTTTCAACTGTGCAAGGAAGCTTGAAGGCTTCAGAGTGGTCGAAATAGAGTTCTGGTCTACGCCTATATAGGTAAAATACCCTGCGGGTAAACGCTTTCCCGAGTATTCTGAAACTTTAATTTAGCCTCGAAGTTAAAATTTCTATCCCATTGCCCTGTAGATGGAATATGGATAGGATGATTGACAGTATGATGAACGGAAATGAGAGCCACTTTAGAACCTATTCAGCTTTGTAATTACAATTTCAGCCACCCATGTTGCATCTTGTCTGCCTTTTCAAAAACAGCAAGGCCAGCTGGGGCTTAGAGCTAACTCTAGACCTTGGTGAACATGGAAGTTGTGACAGGAAAGAAATGTTATATGAAAGTGCTCAGGCTTTCTCAAGGAGCTCTCATCAATAATCAAATAAGGGGCTTCTCCCTGTATCCCTATGTGAGTAGGGTCATAATACGTGAGTCGCGTCTATTTCATACAAAACACGGTATACCGGGGATATGAGTGCGAATATCAAGTTACATACGAGGTTGATAGAAGCGTTTCGAAGTATTTGAAGGAGAAGCCCTAACATATTACCGGGACGCCATTTGCAAAGTAAGCAATTCACTGTATGGTTCCTGAATGACCCATGTCCCGGACTACAACACAAAGTTGGGTTATCAAAAGTGCATGAATCTCAGTCGCTTGTTTGAGTACAATTTACGCTAGGGCTTTTATGGACCGAGTCTTCTTCGGACAAAGACCATGACCTGTTTCGCGTACGACTGATGCCAGCAGTAGAGTATGTTGCTGCAACCACCCTGTCACGGGGTACTGGTCGTGGAGTCTGGTACGTATAAGGGTTGAAATCGGGATATTTCCTAGCTGACTTTCCGAAGCACATAGCGAAAATAAAATAAAATAAATAAAAGCTTCGTTATGTGTGCCGTTTTAAACAATGTGGAGGATACCGGTGCAGCCGTAAGTATAGATCAGCAAAGCCGGGAGTACCTGACAGCGACGTATCGTTGTGTAGACTGGTTCCACAGATTAGTCCTTGTTAGTAGCTATATAAAGTATTGAACACTGTCGTTTGTTTGCTGGGGATTTAGAATGCCATACTTTTATGTAGGTGACTGTAATTATCAGCCAACATACAACGTAGGTGTAGCTCAGGAATGCTTTCAATGGTTGATGAATAATGGTTTTCAAAGAGGGTTATGGGAAGAAGTAGTAGGGGAAATCCCTCTCCTTAAATAGCTACTTGCACATATTCTGCAACCCAGTAAAATATTAACATGTACGTATCGAACGTGAAAATGTTGCCTATCATCTGGTAGGCTTCGTTGAAGGTGATATGTACCAGCTTGTAAGAACTCAAGAACTGGATGCGTCATAATAACCAGCAGGAGGGATGTTTTCGCCACCGTAAGACACTTTCAAGAGGGTATTTCTCAAAGTCGTAAGGCGCGATATGAGCTGTGGGTAAAATGGGCCTAGATTTTTCGACCAATTAGGTGTTCAGTATGATGGCAGAATAAGTAGTATAAAGGACCACAATGATAACAGCCAGCAGGAGAGCTACACTTCTCGCCTATGTGAAGGGGTTAGCAGTGGTGTTGAAGCTGGGTAAAGCAGACCTAGCACTTACCAGGTCATCCCAGATTTTTCCAAAGCTGGAGTACTGATGGCATTCCTGTCGCCAAATGGGTTGTTAATGTCATCATCCTCTTCTGACTGTTCGCTCTCGCTTTCCAGATCGTTGTATTTATCAACCTGTAAGGTTGGTACGGTCTGTGGGCGTGGTGGTTTTGCTGGGGGTAAGCCTTGAGTATTTGCATGAGCTGAATCTAGTTCCTCCTCGCTATCACTGTCATCATCCACACTTTTATCCATGACTTCAAACGCTAGGAGGGCGTTAATGATTTCTTCATGGCTATGAATCAGGATCCCAAGATAATTTTCGTCAAGTTTGTGGATGAATTTAAGGAGCTCAGACCGGAGCACTTTACACTCATCAACCCGGCGCATGACCTCTTTATCCTGGCTAACACGCATCGTCTCGCGGTTGACAAGCTTCATAGCGTTTTCTAGACGGGTTATTGCGAAACCTACATCCGCAACGGTACGCTTTATGCGAGCAACATCCTCATCAGAGGCCTTAGCTTTAGCCTTAGCATGTCTATCTGTTATACTGTTTCCAGTTGATGAATGCTTTTCCGATTTTTGCTTATTCTTCTTCTTTGAGTCGAAAAGTGATTTGGAATTGGAGGATGAAGATGGAGTGGTCGAGCTTAAGGTTCTTGACGGTCCGTCGCCTGCGACTATAGAGACAGAGTGACCCAAAGGTTCTTCAGGTGAGTCTTTGAGGATATTCGAGTTTTCGGGACCAGCACGTTTTTTTCGTTTAGGGAGTTGCTTATAAAGGGCAGTGACTCGCTCCATCCCAGCAACACCTTTGAACGACACTGCCCATTGAGAGTATAGTTGCTGACATTTCTCCTTGACCGATGCATCGGTATGAGGGTCAGTCGCGATGACCCTCAGCCGTTCAAGGAGTGGCTCGTCGGCAAAGCTTCTGTGAAATCTTTCTCCGGCATTTTGTATGAGAAAGTCGAGGATCGTGAGAGCTCTCAGTTGACGATGTACATTGCCATACTTCCTGCAAGAAAATGTGTTAGTCATGAAATTGAGCAGTGCCCTTCTTTCCCTTCCAATAGACAAGAATAGAACTACGAACAGCTTCTTCCTCAAGGCGCGACTAGCTTCTGAGGGTCCGCTGGCCTGCAGGCGGATGACCTCGATCAGGTCTGGAATGCCGCTCCAGTCATCAACTTCGTATTGTTCGGCAGTGAGACTATCTATCTGCACCGTTATCGCCGTGTACGGTTTTTTCTAAACCCAAAAGGAATGAGTTAGCAACCGTAATGACTACTTCCTCCCATCGGCACTTCACGCATAGATACAGACACTGCACTTTAAGTACAGTATCTAGAAAGCAAAGGTAACCAGTAGCTGTGGAAGGAGAAGGATTATATATACCGATCCTGAAAACATGGCTATGCAGTTCCTGGCCTACCACCTGCTAGTCGGTGCGGGGATTTCGGGGATGGGGATGCGTTGGAATAACAAGGTCTTTGTAGCGTCGCATCAAGACGTGCCTACAACCAATAAAATAAACATACGCCTAGTCCAGGCACTGTCATGCAAAGAGATTCTGATGGCGATATCCAGAGGAAGCGAAGAGAAGCAGATACACACGCAACAACAGTTCTTCTTTCTCCCGCATTTGGTTTCTTCACGACGTTTGAGGCTGTGAATGAATGACGTCTTGCTGACTAATGAATGACTGATCGAGATGACTAAGAAAATGAAAAAGCTACTTCCAAACTTCTTACTAAGCGGCCAGACCCCTCGAGCTTATTAAGCGCCAGTAATAGCCGACGCCAAGGCCTGGACTCAGCAGTATCAGCGCGACGCGCAAAGGGAAAGCCGAGCCGAGGCGGGCCGGACGGTGAAGATAGAGTAAGCAACTCGGATAGACTCAAAGTCAAATAAGCTTAAGTAAACGTTTCATGTCTGGGATGCGAGACGAAGATAAGACGGAAGTCAGGGAGCGAAAGGGGAGAGGAGCGAGCGAGTATAAAAGCCCATCGATGCCTGCGAACTCCCTGTCGTCCTCCCAAAGATCAATATCACCACTGTATACTCTTCTGGTTGCTTTGCTCTCGCTGGCTGTGGCATTGCTCGCTTTGAGGACTACTGTTTCTACTACTTCTGTTTCTATACTCCTCCCCGCGTTTTCCCCTCTTCGTTTATCTCGCCACTACAGCAATACTGCCATGTCGTCCACACCCTCATACCGCCAGGAGCTGCGAGTAGCAGAGCTGGCAGTCCAGCGGGCGTCTCTCCTCACCCAGAAAGTCTCGCAGCTGAAGGCTAAAGGCACCCTGTCCAAAGATGACACCTCTCCAGTGACAATTGGCGACTTTGGGGCCCAAGCTCTCATCATTCAGGCTATTAAGAAGAACTTCCCGGACGACGAGATCGTGGCCGAGGAGGAGGCCAGCTCCCTCAGAGAGAACAAGGCTCTTAGCAGCCAGATCTGGGAACTTGTTAAGGAAACCCGCCTCAATGACACAGAGAGTGACTGGCTTGTCGGTGGCCAGATGGCCAGCGAGGAGGTCTTCCTCGACACCCTTGACAGCGGAAAGAGTGCTGGTGGCCCCAAGGGTAGAATATGGGCCCTTGACCCCATTGACGGTACAAAGGGTTTCCTCCGTGGTGAGCAGTATGCGGTCTGCCTTGGTCTCATCGTTGATGGTGATCTCAAGGTTGGAGCTATTGGATGCCCTAACTTGCCTGTCTCTGACGCTGCTCTCACTCCTACCGTTGGCCAATCCGGCTCCGAGGGCATCGAGACCGGTGTGCTCTTCGGCACTATTAAGGGCGCCGGTTCCACCAGCCGCAAGCTTGGTGATGGTGCCCTCCTCCCCAGCAAGCCCATCTCCATGAGGCCTGTTCCCAATATTGCCGATGCCTGCTTCTGCGAGAGTGTCGAGTCCGGCCATTCTGCCCAGGGTGACAATGCTGAAGTCGCCAGACTTCTCGGCATCACCAACCAGAGCATCCGTCTCGACTCCCAGGCCAAGTATTGCTCCATTGCCCGAGGAGCCGGAGACATCTACCTCCGCCTCCCCACCCGCCCTGACTACCAGGAGAAGATCTGGGATCACGCAGCTGGAGACTTGCTCGTACGTGAGGCCGGTGGTCAGGTTACCGACATCCACGGAAAGAGACTTGATTTCAGCATTGGCCGCACCCTCAAGGAGAACAAGGGTGTCGTTGCCGCCCCTGCTACCATTCACGCCCAAGTTATCGAAGCCGTCACTGCAATGTACGCTGCCAAGGCAGCCAAGGCGTAGACACACTCTCTTCATTGCGTTTCCCTTTTGTCTTCACGATCAAGCAGCTTATAAATGATGTTGTTCAGTGGATCTGGTAACTATAGTCTTATCAGGAGTTCAATGCATGCAAGACATGCTGGAGGAACATGGAATGAACTGCAAAACAATTGTATAGAAATACACATAACGCCGAATGACACATATTGTACAATGAAAAGATAAGACACACATGAGCAATTCCATAGATCCATCTTTCGTTCACTTGATCTTCTTCGCCTTGAGCCTGATGGTCTCTCCGTTGACGAATATACCTTTGCCTTTGTAGGGTTCCGGAGGTCGCCATTTTCTAATGTCAGCGGCGAACTGTGTCACAACCTCCTTGTCGATACTTTCCAGGAGCAAAGTTGTGGGCTGCGTAGTCCGAGCCTTCACGCCCTTAGGAATACCGAGCTCAACAGGATGTGCGAACCCAACCTTCAGGGAGACAAATTGCTGTCCAGGGTACTCAGGAGTGAGGGTGATCGCAGACGATTCGACGGAGGCACGGAAACCAACTCCAACTAGTTTCAAGATGCATATGTGGCCTTCGGAAACACCAAGAATGTAGTTTCGTAGATGTTGTCGAATGGTTCCTGCAACGTTCCCCGTTAGCTATGTAGTCCTCCTCAGCGGTGAAAGGCTGATCAGAAGCAGGAATATATTTCGCATACCCCACATGGCAGCCTGGTGCTTGACAGTCACATCCTGTACTTCAAATGAAGCCTTTCTCGATTCTGGGTCATAATTTAATGTTGAAAATGGAGGGATTTTCAATGTCAGTGATCCTATTTCCCAATTGCGAGTTAGCCCTAGCATTCGATCCGATACTCCAAAGCTGTTTTCTCCTTACCCAGAGGACCTGTTACGTCCACTGCAGTGACGGGAGCATATTTAGCCTGCGCCTTTGATACAGTCTGGTCTAGAGGCAGATCGCGGAATTGTAATGACACTTCTGGAGGCACTGCGATAGGAGCAGCGCCGATTCGCGATTGTCTTGATGCGGAGATTGAGAATGGCCTCGAAAACGCAGGGAGCAGGAAAGACGGCGGTGTTGCGGAACTTGGAGCTGCATTGAGTCGAGACGACTCCCTTAGGAGCCGTGTGCAGCAGTTTCTCGATGTTGCCAGCGCCATACTGACAGATTCCAAGTACCTGCTCAGTCTTTCCTGACTTTTCATCTCGAACTATTTTTTTTTCTTATACCTGGGGCGCCCATGGATCACGTGATACAACCTTCGAGTCGCCGATTCCCACGAAACACAAAAACCGTCAGGAGGAAAAAAGCATCACGACAACTACGTCAAGATGAGACTCACAGTTCCGCGTTTCATCTTTCTTTACGTCCATAAAGGGCATTTATACATTCACTCTTTGTAAACTCACTATACCCACTGCTGTGATCAACTTTCAGCAGTCAATCTTCTAGACACCGCTTGGCCAATGTTGACCTCTTCCCTATACCCAGCAACGGTTGTTTAACAGCTAACTAAAGTACCGTCCACACCCCGGATTCTCCATATATTCTCGATTAGAAATTTATACTCTTCTTCTTCTTCTTTTCCTTCCCTTCTTTCTTTCTTTTTTCCCTTTCACTCCAATTTAATTCCTCTACGGAAATATCTGCTCCAAATCGAGCCCCGAAATGGCATACAGCGCATCATATCCGCGAGTTGTTCGCATAATTTCTCTATTTTTCTACCTTCATATACTAACCTCCACTATCGGTAGCGTTACTGGATTCAAACTGCCTTCGTTTCTGAACAGTCAAGCACCCGCTGGTCTCAGATTTCGGGATATTGATAAAGTTCCAGATGATGACTCCCAAATTTCAATTGATCTTCCACTATTACTCCATAAAAATCCCGCTCAAGGGAATATTTTCTTCTCTAAGGCTCTGCATTTACTAGATTCAATGCAGCACGCGCCATCCTGCAACCAGCGTGCTGTCGCAAGTTTGATCACATCTTGTCAAGCATTGTCACCTGAGACAAGTGAGAGGAGACATTACACTCACTTTAACTTGGACCATGTCAAATCGTTATATGCTGCTCGATTAGCAGTATGCGAGATAACTGGGACTGGAGCCGCGATACCCGAGAAATGCTTAGATACATTTCCTTCTCATAACAGCTGGAGACCCCAATACAAGGACAGTTCTCAAGGATTCCAAGTCGCAGACGAGGAAAGGAGTATCCCAGCGGCAGTATTAGAGCCATGTCTCAGGTCCCTGGAGTCAAAACCGCAGTGGTGGACAAGCTATAGCAACGGCCGTCAAAATGCTGCTGTGATGTGCCACGCCGCTCGCTTTGAAATTGAGAAGGAGGAACTTCTTAATCATCATAGAAGCCTAACTGAAGTTACTCATGGATTAAACATGCACTTGAACCGATCTCTGGAAGATTCTTATACCCAAGCTCAACAGCATCGTGAATTTATAAGGAGTATAGATACCCTACGGCAAAATCTACTACGTGATCTACGTAGAGATAACAACAATATTCAAAATCAAGTTACAGAGCTCCTATCAGGTACCAGAGATATGTTTCGTAATGCGAATGGAGAATTCCGGGGGTTTATTGAAACCACTTTGACAGAGACTGCTACTCTCGCTAAGGTATCCTTCCTCCAACTGAGTTGTGCAGTTTGCTTATTACCCAATAATTTCTAACTGATAACAGCAAATTAAATCATCCATTATCTCGGCTCAAGAAGTAAAAAGGGTTTTGAACGAGGTACTTGTCAAAGAAGTGAAGCGAAACTCAGACTTAGTTTCTGCAGAGCAGACTGCTCTCCAGGCCAATGCTCGTCTTATTACCAATATCCAAGGCTCACTTACCGAGGTAAAGCAGGCTGGGATGGGTATCATAGTGGAAGAGCTGAAACATCTCCACATGTCGATGGTAATTATCCCTGGCTTTGTGTACCTCACCTACTAACAGGACGATAGCGTTCATTGAGTGAAATGGTATCTAGTGTGAGCCAAACGCACGCTTCCCTCGATGATGTATGAATGTGACTTGCCTGATGCCATTGACATCATAGCAACTAACAATAATTTTGCAGCGTGTGAATCATATTGATGCAGCACTTAGCCACTTTGAAGAGAAAGCT